CAAGCAAGCCCTGTCCAGATTTAAAAAGTAACGCAAAAGTAACGTAACGCATTACTTTCCATAAAAAGTAACTGAGTACCGTAATTAGTTACTTTTTATGGAGTAACGCAATATTGTAATGCATTACTTTTAAAAGTAACTTTCCCCAACACTGTTCATCAGCAGTTACTTTACCTCACAAGTAGATGCAATGAGAAATCAGACCGATGCAACAGGATCTCCATTCACAGAACAGTCGAAGCTCAAATCTCAGAGGCAACAACCTGCAAACTACATCCAGTCCCATCCACATCTTCAAGTGAGCTCAGACAGACCTTGCACTGCTGTTTATATGGACAGAGAACTGTGACACGCTCTTCTGTGGCTAACTGCACATGCAGCTTCATATTCAGGTGTCTGAGATAACTGCTGAAAGCTCGGACGGAGAAAAGCAGCTATTTGACAGGAAACGCCGCTCTGTGAATAAAGAGAGAGGCGTAAATCTGGGTCGATTGGGATCTCAAAACATTGTGGATCAATAACGGCCACATAAAAGAGAAATAAATCAGGTCACCTCTTCAGCACGGCACGAGAAGAGCAGATCCGTGAGGAATATTAAAGCGCACAGGCTGTGTTACAGTGAACCGCTCTAGTAAAACATCACTTCAAGGCCTGGTCGACAGGTCAGCACTCTGATGGGATGGGTTTCCCAGCGTTTCGCTCCATGTTCATCAGCAGTAAATACAGGTTCGGACTCCCTCTGACTTTATTAGGACGGGATATGTGTGCTGACAGCTGATTCCTGTCCCAAAGACAGCTGGGTTCATAATAACTAAAGGGTTAAGGGCAGGTCAAAGGGCATCTACATATACAAATTTAGCAAAGATGAGGTCAGATAGAAACAACTTCAATAGAGGAACACCAGTAGGACCATGAGTTTGATGTATAACATGATACTATATGATAAGGATATTATATCAGACCAAAAAATAGTGACAGAATCAACCTCGCTATATTAACCTGACTAAGTTAAGTCATTCTTAAGGTTATTAAGATAGAAACGGCTCCTCGAGATAATAACTGCACTTTTTTTTTTGCAGTGTTGTAAAAGTGATTAATGTATTTTTTTAACTGTATGTGTGAAAATTGTTCATATATATATATATATATATACGTATATGTACACTGTATATATATATATATACACACACAAATACACACACACACACACACACACTCTCACACACACACACACACACACACATACATACACACACACACACACACACACTCTCACACACACACACACACACACACATACATACACACACACACACACACACACTCTCACACACACACACACACACACACATACATACACACACACACACACACACACTCTCACACACACACACACACACACACATACATACACACACACACACACACACACTCTCACACACACACACACACACACACATACATACACACACACACACACACACACTCTCACACACACACACACACACACACATACATACACACACACACACACACACACTCTCACACACACACACACACACACACATACATACACACACACACACACACACACTCTCACACACACACACACACACACACATACATACACACACACACACACACACACTCTCACACACACACACACACACACACATACATACACACACACACACACACACACTCTCACACACACACACACACACACACATACATACACACACACACACACACACACTCTCACACACACACACACACACACACATACATACACACACACACACACACACACTCTCACACACACACACACACACACACATACATACACACACACACACACACACACTCTCACACACACACACACACACACACATACATACACACACACACACACACACACTCTCACACACACACACACACACACACATACATACACACACACACACACACACACTCTCACACACACACACACACACACACATACATACACACACACACACACACACACTCTCACACACACACACACACACACACATACATACACACACACACACACACACACTCTCACACACACACACACACACACACATACATACACACACACACACACACACACTCTCACACACACACACACACACACACATACATACACACACACACACACACACACTCTCACACACACACACACACACACACATACATACACACACACACACACACACACTCTCACACACACACACACACACACACATACATACACACACACACACACACACACTCTCACACACACACACACACACACACATACATACACACACACACACACACACACTCTCACACACACACACACACACACACATACATACACACACACACACACACACACTCTCACACACACACACACACACACACATACATACACACACACACACACACACACTCTCACACACACACACACACACACACATACATACACACACACACACACACACACTCTCACACACACACACACACACACACATACATACACACACACACACACACACACACACACACAAATACATACACACACACACACATATATATAATTTTAGGATAATTTTCCATATACTAATTACTTGAATGTAAAAAGCGGTTTCAGAAAAAAACTATGCAAAATCTGATTTAAGGTTGTTGTTCCTGGGAAAACATTGGTGCAAGAATCCCTTTATTTAACAATTTTGTAATTATTTCCCCTCTATAAACAATTTCTATCATATCACCATATAAACCGTCAAAAAAAAAAAAAACTCTTTCAAAAAGGGTATGAATGTTGTTACAGTTTCAGAAGGAAATCCTGCGAGTGCAGAAATAGACACAGATCAATAGCAGCTGATCGATCCACTCACACACTATAGATAAATCATTGCTTGCTGTCTATGTACTTGACTGGAGCACCTCTGGAGCAAAATATATGATGCATGAGCAAACAACGGATTTATAGTCAATACCGTCACTATAAACTGCCTAATTATCATATTGTGCTATTAACTTTTAATTTAGTAATATACAGTACACACATCCTTACAGAGGTAGTAAAATATTACATTATATATATTGGCATATTATTTTAAATACCATATGAAATATTTCGTTACAAAACATGGACCTGCTGTATTAATGTAGCCTAATCTGACGACATCAACAATATCCTATCTTTACAGTGCATTATATAGGCTATACAGGCGTCAACAAGTGTTATCAAGTTTTCTGTTTACAGTGAAATTCAGTTTATTGTATGACAAATATATATACAAACCTACAAATCACATAAGTAGACTATAACATTTCTATAACATTTCTCATATTTTTTAGCAGGCTATGATTTCTCGCAATTTGACACAAATTACGGGAACAGTTTTCATGATACTTTAAAATATTGACAGCTTTAAAATGCAATGAAAAGACTAAGTTTAATAAATGAAAACATAACATACCCACGTTGAGGGTCCGGAGCGCGTGCTGGTCTGGCAGAGCTCTCGCGCGCGCTCTCGATCCTCCCTCACGCACTCGCGTGCGATTGGCTGATGTAACCGGGGCTAGTTGTCACACTTTTACTCGAGTGAATAACTTCTGTAATAACACGAGACCCTTGGAACATCTAGGCTGGCTACACTGTCGTTTCCCAGAGGAAAACGCTACATAATGTCTCAATATGGGGCAAGTTGTCATAATAGAAACCTTCTGTTTATTGACAATGATTTGGGGAAAAAATGTCTGAAATGTGAAATAGTCTCAAGTTTCATCTTCAGTAACGTAGCCTGTATCTGTAGGCTATTTAAAATGTTATACATTATTTTATATTGCTATAAAAGCAAATAACACTTTTATTATGGCTAAATGGAAATGTAGGCCTATCACAAAATATGTAGGCTAACTGTTATTTTCGGCTAATTGTAAATAATGATTGTAAAAATACACGCATGAAACGTGTGACAACTTGTCTCTACTACTGTTAGATATGCTAATTTGCAATCGATGTCAGTCTTGTTTTAAAGGGGTCATATGATGCGATTTCAAGTTTTCCTTTCTCTTTGTAGTGTTACAAGCTGTTCGTGAATAGATAAGATCCCTGAAGTCGCAAAGACTAAAGTCTCAAACCAAAAGAGATATTCTTTATAAAAGTTAAGACTCGTCCACGCCCTCCTAAAACGCCTCGTTTAAACACGCCCCCACA